GAGATGGAACTATGTGGAAACCGGGGCTTGTTGCTTTGTAGTAGATGTAGAGCAGTAGCTGTGACACAAGAAAAGACAGATTCTGAATAATCATTATGCCTGCAGAAGGGTTGGAAGAATATCGCGATGAGTTTCCGCCATCAGCAGGGCACATCAAAGGAGAAACCAATGCAGTAAAGAACAACGACAAACCATTTCATTGAGGCGACTTGCTGAAGCAACAAGCCACTGGATCTCCAGCGCAAAGGCACACGTGGGATGGTAGTTGAGATCGTAGAGGAGGCAGTACCATTCTGGATGGCGCTTCAAGGCTGCTGCGGTGGCAGTAGTGATAGATGTATCCCGGAGGTCCCTCGTTACTCGTTTTCTTAGTACACCCTCCGATCCCACTGGGAGGAGGAGAGATAGATACCGCATATAACATACTTTACTGCTCAATACGAAGGCATCAACTTGAATTTCTCACCATGAATACCAGAAGTGTTTTCCACACCAAACACACGGCCCAAGCCTGCAGTGCTCAAGAGCCCATTTACCAACTGAGAGTCTTGTTCATCCTGAGACGGAGGCGAGGAATAGAAAGTGGAAGTGAGGCGAGGACGCGAAGTGACTGGATGGGTGGCAGCGGGTGCCTCTTGCACCACGAGAACTTCAACCCATTCCTTCTGGAAGTCTGTAGAGAAGCTGCCAAGTGGGGAGGTGCTAGAGGGTGGCAAATAGTTGGTAGGGAAGGAAATCTTCCGAATGTCCGAAGATTTAACTGCCTCTGCGTCACCTGCCGATTTCCGACCACCTAGACCGACAGGTAGACATGTTACTTGACCTCTTGTGCAAGTTGAATGCACGCATAAGTGAATGCATCAATTCATGATTATTGACAGTAAAGGATGAAGTAAAGAGAGGGTGAGCTATTAGACAGACGAACAAACGGAAGAATGGTTGGTGAGATGAGCATACGATTACGAGTGAATGAAGGATTGCGCATGAATGTGATGGACAGGAATGAGCCGACTGTCAGACAAATGGGAGAGTGCAGAGAGGAGGAGGAGTCGAGGAGGCAGTCCCCGTTGGTAGGCGTCTGCGTTTTTCCACACCTATCGTACCACAACAGCAATGGTATTGTCACTGCCATTTGCACGCTATCGTCTGCCACCGTTCTGCACCACGCAAGCCTTAAAATGGTCGAGGGGTTTTGGTGAACACTTGCAAAGCTGGCCAATCAGACTAATTGAACGGGTAAGTGACTAGACAGTCAATTGAATTGAAGATCCGGTTAGGTGAACTTCAACAGGTGGACAAATGCACAAAGAGAGCATGTGTAGAGCACCCTCTCGCATAGCCGGCCAAGGACTTGACAAGTGAAGTAGCGACTGTCAAATTGCGAAAGTCTAAAAGAACGGAGGAGCAGAAGAGGTGAATTTCCTAAATATCAGTCGATGTCAGGACTCTCCAGATTGTCACCGTCGAAGTCCTCTTGCCAGCAGAAGAATTATGATTCGAAGCACTTAATCTAACCCAACTTAGTCCAACTCATAGAGTGTTGATTGTCGAGAAGGAGAATCCCATCCCAAGAGATCTTCATCCTGATTTCTACTGCCCAACAGAAGAGCTGAAGATGACGTCCACTCTCCTGTGTGTCGTGAGAAGCCTCTTAAAAATGAAATTACCGCTTAGAAGGATTTCTGTTACGCAATTTCTTCAACATTTCTGCACGAGGCTACTGATAAAATGAACAAACGAGAAACCCAATCTTCATGGACTTTCTCTCATAATTTTACTTTCAGACCGGCATTCAAACCTCTATCCATGATCAGTAGAATTCCTCATTCTTGAGTGCGGTTCTGGAGCCGAACGACACTTACGATCCAGTAAAATTGCCGACAGGCTTCAATGACGATGCAGTCAAGCATATTGGCACTTGAATAGAAATTAAACGACTTGCCTGTGGGCGTTTGATATGAAAAAGCACCGGAGAAGATGCTCAAAAAGCAAGGGATATTATGTGACGCTTTTGTTGACACTTTTTGTTGATTTTGTCTACGTCGGGTGGACTGATCTCTGGCTAGTGCTCCGATGGCGTCTTTTGCCTTCAAAAAAGTCTCACATTGCTTCATAAAATCGAGCATTTCACATGCATTAAAGCTCCTCCCATCTAACAACTCATTTGCTTTAAACTTTTCAGTAGCAATCATTGCTTGCAGTTTAAGTTGGATGGGGGCGTTGCAAATTTACGGTTAGAAAAAGGCAGGCCGCCGTGACGGTGCTGCATGCGATGATACCTCAGTGCCAAGTGTCGTTAACCTTGAATAGCACATAGAAAATTGTTTTGCCAACGAAAGTGTCAAATTCTAATCCACTGATACGGACGCTCAGTTACTTAAGTTTGGAAAAAGTTCCCCCACACGCCAGCAACAGTGTCAATTGGGACGATTTTCGGTCCTTGGGTTAGTGTAGCAATCATTTCTCCATTCATCCAGCCCATTTCCAAATGAACGACTTCTGACCTCCATCTTAAGGTGTAACAAAGTTGGAGGAACGACAAATCCTGCATTGAAATTAGAGTACCAAGAACTACCGCATAACGGTTTCTAAAGACCGTATCAACGTGGCTAACAAATCCTTTTGTAGCAAAGGTTCTTCTCAAATGGCAAGTTAAAGGCTGAGACGGAGTCGCATATCAGCACGGCAGAGGATGATGTTCAAAAAATGAAACAGTTTAGGCAGGTTCCTGGCACAACTGTAAAGGCCTCGATTTGGTCCAAATCACGCTCTTGAATTAAACCATTCACTTATTTTCCACGCTTTTTTCGAGGGGAAAAAATTGATAAAAAAGGGGATGTGCCTACTTAGAAGATCACTGGTCTCCTGAGTACTCGACGAACTGGTGGCTTCTGCAAGAATGGTGTAGAGGAAGAAGCCGTTGAGGAACTTGTGAGCTCGATTTCCAGAGGCATGACAAATATAGCCGCCATTCAGAAGGCTCTGCAACGAGAAAAAGCATTAGTTCTTTACATCTGGAATGTTAGGTTTAATTTTAATATATGGAGGGGGATCCTTTGTCTCTGGCTGTCAATCAGAAGCATTAAAATATTTTAATTATTTCAGAGTTGCTTGACCATGGAGGCTACAAGCATCCAAAGCAGTTGCTAAAACTACTTTATTTCTACTTTAATCCAGATTAAATTTTCGCATTATGGAGCCTCATTTCTCCTACCAATCAAGGACAATCAACTAAAAAGAGGACAGCAGACTATGGACACCTGTGCATATTTCACCGCCGCACCCGTTGAAGATACATCAACGAGATTTCGTGAGAGCCAACTCGTGAGGTCGTAGGCACAGAATGTGTGTTTTGGGAGAAGCGGCGTGCCTGTTATGAAGGTTAAGCCGCACCTGTCGAAAAAAAGTAAGCGTATGCATAAGGAAGGAGAGGAGCGCCTTCCAAGGCAGCGCAGCAACCTAGAGTTGCCTCGATTGCATTCATCAGCAGGTGCGAACCTTTAACACAATCTGTTTCGACTGGCAGATTTAATAAATGTTTTCGGAATAGACCTGCTACTTAAATTGATAAAGTAACTTCTTTTAATTATCCTAGAGTATACTAAAATGTTAATGGCCGGTATGCCTAATGAGAAGTGCACACCTACATTAACTTATTGCAAAATTATTTCAATATCTTTAATGATCGAACAATGAACACACAATACTCATAAAACACTGAGCCCGACTCTCCAAAACTTAGGTATTGAAGGCGACCACGGTTCAAATATCTCCACCTTATTAGTAAAACGGTAATTAAACGGAGTGGATTCAATTAAAATCTGTCGAAAAGAGAGGTCAAAAATTATCATGAAGGATGGAAAAGAAGAATTCGATCGTTGTAGTTACATCAGTACGGAATCTTCGGGCTATACTTGTATTACAACCATCAAGAGAACGCAACCTTTTAATGCATTCAGCCTATTCACTGCCTGACAGCACAAATTTCATTCCACTATTGCAAGGATAAGTAGCGTCTTGGACAATGGACTTCTGACTTCAGAAAACTCAAATAGCAGTGTAAAAGGTGGAAAAAAAATCAGTTTCCACATCTTTTTAACCTCTGCCTTAAATGCAGCAAACTTACTCAGGATCGAGAATGGCAGCAATAACTCGCCAAATCTCAGAGTAGGTAGAAAGTGGAAGAGCAGGTGAAGCGGAGGTAGAGATGGAGGTAGAGGAAAGTGAACCAGTGGAGTAGGGAGGAGCAAGCGGTGTCGGTGGAACCGGTGTAGCAGCAGCAGAACGTGTGTTACCCTCCGGAATCGCCGGCTTCTCCAATTCCAGAGTTGGTGTTGCCACGGTGCCGTGGCGACGGACTAGGTTGCTAGGCGGAGGCACAGTTGACGTTGGTGTTACCGTATCATGACACACTCGTGGATCCACCGCGTCCGCCCAGTTAAACTGGAGAGTGCAAAAAGTAATTAGTTCACGGATTTTGTTCTACTTAAACCAAGCGAGTAGCATCTGCAACTGCTTTCACACCTACGAATACAATACCTGCATCGTCAAACTGTAGACGTCGCTGTTTCAAAGGTGATGCAAAACACTTTGCTCTATTCCTTGACCAAAAGTCAAGAAACACCAAAACATGTCAACAAACCGAATCAACCCCTAACTGTGTCCCAAATGTGTCCCAGAGAACGATTCAATGTCAAATCAAAACCTGAATCGCCTCATTGGGCGTGGTGGCTTTTATTCCAATGCATTTTAAATGTCTTATGAAATCTGCTGAAATGCACCAAAAGACACCGGCCCAGCTGAAATGCAAGTGGAGTAGAACAACTAACCGCGTTACCTTAGACTAAAGTGTTAAAAAAAAGATAACACCTATATGTGTGTTCTTGGAAAATAGCATCTGTTGTGCCGTTAACGCGGAACCTTTGAACCCAACAGGCAGTTTAAATGTCAAGTCGAATCGACAACCTATACATCTCTTGTATTTGCCTTTCATTCATGATGACTAGGTCCACCTTTATTATGTGCAACAAACTTATTTCTTTTTCTAAATAAATGGTGCATTTAGCGACTGCGATGTTTTGGGTTAGTTCAGTGATGTTGAAATAGGCGAGAAGTTGAACTGTAACGCACGCTACTTCAGTATTCCACACCGCAAACTCCAAACTACTCTCACTTGAAGCAGCAATAAAACCGTTTTCAGACCTGCTTCCCCACTAACTTTCTTAAAAACAACTCAAATGTCATTCTGTTGACGGCACAGCAATGCTAGAGCTTCCAGGCGGACCCACGCCCAAATGAAGAAGAAGGTACGAACCGAAAATGATTCATTTAGTGAAATCGCATGAGTAAAGCGACGAGAAGAGAGCAAAAACTCCATTTGACAGCTTTAAATTGCCCACAAGCACAACTGTCACACATAGGTGGCGTTCCTCGCTAAAAACGAGTAGAAGTAATTTGGATGGGTGAGAGGTTAACACGAAAACTCTGATGAGAAGTAAGTCCTCCACTCATAAGCAATGCTCACAATGAATGGCTTCCCTGTGAAACAGTTGATAAACAGAGACACAACGACCTATTATTTGCAGCACTGACTTGAGCCTACCTTAAACCAAAAAGGTTCACTCAACCAACTTGAATGCGCCTTAGCTACTCGGAGGTTAACACGGATTTGCTCTCTCCCAGTTGAGGCAAATCTTGGGCGACGATGACACAAAGGACATTAAATATGAGGACCGGGTACATTCACTTATCCGGCTATAAAACTCATTCCTCCATTTAAAGTGACACGTCACTATTTTCTGCACCGGAAAGAGGACTTTCAAGTCGCGACGACGATTAGTCCACGCACAACCAATCAGGAGTCAACTTGGTGGAATTGCCTTGACAATAACCAGATCAAATAATCCTCCCAAGACAGCAATGTAAGTTGTGCCAAAATGTGGTTGTCACTGTGCCAACAGTGTCAGGTTAGTTTACCCTACCTCAATGCACAGGAAAAAAAAGGGGCTTTTATCGTGCCACTCTGATAGAAAGGTGTGTTAACTTTGGCTGACACAAAACACACCAAATGGACACGCAAAACACAAATGGCTAATTATAAATAGGATTTGGTGAGAGTGATGGACAAGAACGACCCATAAGCGATTGACAGACTACATCAGCATGACGGGGCTGACCTCTGCCCATTTGTCAGTGCTGAATTCATCCGATCACCAAGTCGGCTGAAATAACTGAAAATTATGCATACTTCTGTGTTTACTTTTACCTCAAGTCTTTCCCTCCCAGTGGTAACTTTAATAAATGATGACTTGATTGCCTTGATTAGTTAGGGGGAGTAGAAAAAGTGTCTCGTCCCTTGAAGTGGGTCCACGACACGGGCATGGAGGCGAATTGTGTGTACTCCAGTGTGCATGACTCGACCTCCATGTGGTCCGACCGTCCAGTCCATTTGGCCACCTCGACTGACACTTTAGCGGCAGCAAAATAGAATACACACACATCCCTCCGGCTTTGTGAATGGACCAATTAGCTACCACGACAAAAAGGACTGGAAGGTAGGCATTTGTTGTGGATGCACAAACTCGTGTCTACTCACAACGTAGAGGCCACTGAAATCCCACTAACCTCGGAGAACTACTGTAATCTCAAATTATCACTGACTGTAGGCCTAAGAGGTGATACAAAGCCTTAGGAGTGAAAAATGAGCAAGGAACACCAAACAGATGGACGAGTGGAACTAAAGCAGCAATGACTAACTGAGGAATAAAACTTGGGGAAGCTTTAAAGGCAATGGGGCTCCGCGCAATAAAAGTAGACAACCGCACCAGACTTACCGAAACGTGTTTATTGGCAGGAACAATCAGCAATACACTCGTAAATCTCAATTCAAATGGACACAGACCTGGAAGTCAATAAAAACGTGGTCCTAGCCACCATTTATGTCGCACTTTTATGATCTAAACGACAATATAATTGTGCCTGCGGCTATGCAGGTGTCCAAGGGAGGATAAAAGCGTCACCTCCATCTCGCTTCGTCCAAATTTACCCCTAAGTTCAAACACATTTCTCAGTGTTCAGATGCGCCAAGTTGTATCGGTGCCAAAGTGGTAAATCTAACTTGAAAATATCGTGTGACCATCAACTGATAAACAATCACTTCGAGGTTAGCACATGAAAATAAGGGGTATAAACACGATGAATGCACAGTCCTGTTTAGTACATGAAGCGATGTGTGTCGTCAAAGCGCGGCACAGACAGTAAGTGCACCGCTTGAATAAATACTAACCCAGACACCAAATGTTCCACTACAAATCCACAAAAACCTTCTCGCATTACGCAACCTTCCGCAGTCCGACAACGGTCTTCAGGTTGTACGGAAGTGGGTGAGGATGTGAAATTCAGGTTTTTTGAAGACCACTGCTTGTCGCCTTCGTGCTGCCACGTGGTGCACAACAGCGGACTAGTTGGTGCATCTCTGGCCTCAAGCACAGTCCGTGGTGAGGTGATGATGATGATGAGGAGGAGGAGGAGGAGGAAGAGGAGGAGGACCGTCATTTTAGTGCGGTCGTTGCGATGTTTATGCAATACGCTGCCCACCACCACCAACATCATGTATCGCCACGTTACGTTCTGCTGTTGCACACCACAAACTCCATCCCCTCCTCACCTTCCCCAACCGCTATCCAGCAACATTGCCCTAAAGGCGCTCCTGCTGTCGCCACCGCCACCAATGCCATCCAACAAAGCGGAATAAGGTGTGAAACTCGTCATCGCATTCATTCCATCGCCAATTCTGTCCTGTGTGTGTGCACACAAGAGGCTGAGGAAGCAGGAGAGGGCACGGCATATGCCGTCATCCCGATGGACCGATGAAGGCATTTGCACGAACACTTGAGACGCTGTCCAAACAGCCTCTTGAATGCGAGTTGCACAGAGCATTGAGATGCGCGACACCACCGATCGATGCGCAGTCCTCTGTTTGTCTACTTCACTGACAACGCGTAAATACGACTGTGGCGCAAACAATGGAGTGACGTTTGGTCGCCTTCGCAAATGCAGGCAAGCAAATGGGGGACACCATCACCGCACTTACTCGCACAGAGGTGTTGACCACATTGTCCCTCCTTTCCCGCCACCATGGGCACAAAATCACGGGCACACGCACAGGTTGACGTTTGTGTCAGCATCGTCCCCACGTGTGAACTTGTTGCACCGAGCGATACTTTTACACCTCCGCGATTGGATTCAAAACACACGAAAGGCACGCACTTGCGTAGTTGTTACTGTGATTCACTCATTCAAGTGCAGACGACCAAAACCTGCCTCCTCGACACCCACACATCCAAGTCCAACCCAATGCAACACGTCTTTGCTCTCCTACGAGTCATGCGAAAGCTGCCAACG